TGCCTTCCCAGGCCACAGCAGAGAGCTGGATTGGAAGTGGAGCAGCCAGGACTCAAACTGGCATACACATGCGATGCCGGCACTGCAGGCGGCAGCTTTACCCACTACACCACAGTGCTGGCCCTCGTAAGTAAATCTTTTTAATGATTTATTTATTTGAAAGGCATGGTTACAGAGGCAGAGGGGGGAGTGTCTTCCATCTGCTGGTTCACTCTCCAAATGGCTGTAATGGCCAGAGCTGGGCTAGTCCAAAGCCAGGAGCCAGGAGCTTCTAACAGTTCTCCCACATGGGTGCAGGGTCCCAAGTACTCATGCCATCTTCTACTGCTTTCCCAGGCCATTGCAGAGAACTGGTTGGGAAGTGGAGCATCCAGGACTTGAACCAGCACCCATATGGGATGCTGGCACTGCAGGCAGTGGCTCCACCTGCCACGCCACAGCGCCAGCCCCACCCCCATAAGTAAATCTTAAATTAAAAAAAAAAAAGAAATGGGCAAAGAACTTAAACAGACATTTTCCTTTTTTAAAGTTTATTTATTTATTTTATTTATTTGAAAGAGAGTTACAGAGAGAGAGAGAGGTCTTCTATCCGCTGGTTCTTTCCCCAGATGGCTGCAACAACCGGAGCTGCATCGATCGGAAGCCAGGAGTCAGGAGCCTCCTCTGGGTCTCCCACGTGGGTGCAGGGCACAAGGACTTGGCCATCTTCTACTGCTTTCCCAGGCTATATCAGAGAGCTGGATCAGAAGTGGAGCAGCCGGGTCTAGAACCAGTGCCTATATGGGATGCTGGCGCCTCAAGCCAGGGCTTTAACCCACTGTGCCACAGCACCAGCCCCTAAACAGGCATTTTTCTTTTTTTTTTTTTTTTTATTTGACAGGTGGAGTTAGACAGTGAGAGAGAGAGACAGAGAGAAAGGTCTTCCTTCCATTGGTTCACCCCCCAAATGGCCACTATGGTGGGAACTACGCCAAACCAAAGCCAGGAGCCAGGTTCTTCGTCCTGGTCTCCAGGGGCCCAAGCACTTGGGCCATCCTCCACTGCCTTCCTGGGCTACAGCAGAGAGCTGGACTGGAAGAGGAGCAACCAGGACTAGAACCGGCACCCATATGGGATGCCCGCGCTGCAGGCGGAGGATTAACTAAGTGAGCCACAGAGCTGGCCCAACAGGCATTTTTCAAAAGAGGAAATTCAAATGGCCAACAGACACATGAAAAAATGCTCAGGATCACTAGCCATCAGGCAAATGCAAATCAAAACCACAATAAGGTTTCACCTCAGCCCTGTTAGAATAGCTTTTATATAGAAATCAACAAACAACAAATGCTGGTGAGGATATGGGGAAAAGGTACCTTAATCCACTGATGGAAGACATGGTGGAAGACAGTAGGAGATACCTTAGAAATCTGAATATAGACCTGCCATATGACCCAGCCATCTCACTCCTGGGAATTTACTCAAGGAAATGAAATCAGCATATGAGAGAATTATCTGCACCCCATGTTTACTGCAGCTCAGTTCACAGTAGCTAAGATATGGAATCAACCCAAATGTCCCTCAATTAAAGACTACATAAAGAAATTATGGGGTAACTACAACATGAAGTACTAAATAGCAGTAAAAAAAAATCCTATCATTTGCAACAACATAGATAAAACTGGAAAATACACTTAGTGAAATAAGCCAGTCCCAAAAGGACTAATACCGTATGTTCGCCCTGACCTGTGGTAAGTAATCTACAGAAGTGAAATCGACGCTTTGAGATGCAATGACTTTGAACAGCCTTTCTCGATGTGGAGGAACAGTTTTCTCTTTCATACTATCTGCTGAACTCTTTAGTTAGTATAGAGTTAATTATATGTGTATAAGGCTAATTGAACATAGACCTTAGTAAAAAATAATGGGAATAGGAGAGGGAGGAGGACGAGGGTGGGAGTGCAGGTATGGTAGGAAGAATCGTATGTTCCTAAAGTTGTACTTACGAAATGCATAAAGTTTGTATTCCTTAAATATAAGGTTAATGGGAAGAAAAAGACTAATACTCAGAATCTTTGGCATTTTAAGTGTACTGGATGAACAGAAATCTTTAAAATAACAGTCCACAGTTAAGAAGGTGGAATTCAGAAAGTAGACAGCTGGAATTTTTTAAAAAAGACTTATTTATTTATTTGAAAGAGTTACAAAGAGAGGAGAAGCAGAGGCAGAGGCAGGGGCAGGGGCAGGGGCAGGGGCAGAGGCACAGAGGCAGAGAGACAGAGAGAGAGAGGTCTCCAATATGCTGGTTCACTCCCCAATTGGCCGGAGCTGCACCGATCTGAAACCAGGAGTCAGGAGCCTCCTCCAGGTCTCCCACGAGGGTAAAGGGGCCCAAGGACCTGGACCATCCTCCACTGCTTTCCCAGACCACAGCAGAGAGCTGGATCGGAAGTGGAACAGCTGGGTCTCAAACCAGTGCCCATATCGGACACTGGCATCCCAGGCCAAGGCATTAACCTGCTGTGCCACAGTGCCATCCCCAGCTGGAATATTCTATGAATAGGTATGGTCTTTTTTAAAAAAAGATTATTTATGTGAAAGGCAGTTATATACAGACAGAGATCTTCCATACTCTGGTTCTCCTCTCAAATGGCCACAATGGCTGGGCCACTGGGTGGCACCTGGAACTCCATCCAGGTCTCCCACATGCGAGCCCAAATACCTTACACCATTTCTACCACCTTCCAGGTACATTACCAGGGAGCCAGACCAGAAGGAGAGCAGACAGAATTTGAACCAACCCATACGAGATGCGAGCGCTGCAGGCAGCGACTTAACTCACTGTGCCACTAGGCCAGCCCCTAGGGATGGTCTTAAATGCCATTTTGTTATGGGATTGGAGTAACCTACATGTTTGCCATTTTTAATATAACTTTGTTAGTATATCATAAGTTGTTTACTTGACAGCCTCTGAGTTTGAAGGTTCCTAGGGTTCAAAAAGGGCTCTGGGGAGGCTAATATAAGATATATATTGAGTGTTTTGTTTTAATGATAACATAGGGTTGTAGGTACTCTCTGTGGAAGAAGCAAGAACCTGGAAATTGTGCCCTAGGACTGAAATTTTCCTATAGGTTTTGTAGACAAGCAGTGTTGAAAGGAAGAGAGTAACAACATTTCCAAAGTGAACATAGTGATCATTTCAGTTATCCAGTACAATCACAGGTAAAACTGTTAAGTAGGCAAAATTGGTTTGGATGCTGGTCTCATCTAACATACACTGACCAGAATTAGATTAACCAGATTTACTTTAAAAAAAAAGATTTATTTATTTATTTGACAGGCAGAGTTACAGACAGTGAGTGAGTGAGAGAGAGAGAGAGAGAGAGAGAGAGAAAGGTCTTACTTTCATTGGTTCACTCCCCAAGTGGCTGCAACAGCTGTGGCTGCGCCAATCTGAAGCCAAAAGCCAGGTGCTTCCTCCCGGTCTCCCATGGGGGTGCAGGGGCCCAAGCACTTGGGCCATCCTCCACTACTTTCCCAGGCCACAACAGAGGGCTGGACTGTAAGAGAAGCAACAGAGACTAGAATGGTGCCCATATGGGATGCTGGCACCGCATGCAGAGGATTAACCTAGTGCTCCACGGCGGCGGCCCCCAGATTTACTTTTTTTTTTTTTTTTTTTTTTTTTTTGACAGGCAGAGTGAACAGTGAGAGAGAGAGAGACAGAGAGAAAGGTCTTCCTTTGCCGTTGGTTCACCCTCCAATGGCCGCCGCGGCTGGTGCGCTGCGGCCGGCGCACCACGCTGATCCGATGGCAGGAGCCAGGAGCCAGGTGCTTTTCCTGGTCTCCCATGGGGTGCAGGGCCCAAGCACTTGGGCCATCCTCCACTGCACTCCCAGGCCACAGCAGAGAGCTGGCCTGGAAGAGGGGCAACCAGGACTGAATCCCTGACTGGAACTAGAACCCCGTGGGGCGGCACCGATAGGCGGAGGATCAGCCTAGCGCCGGTCCAGATTTACTTTTATGGCTTCCTGAGCCAAATGGGAAAAATGTACAGAAGTTTAAACCTGTGGTTTGTGTGATATATTTGTTTTAGTGATTGACCACAGCAGGAGCTCAGTGTATTAATCTGTCAGTTCTTAGCTCAGAATGCTGGGAGCAAAACTAGATAAACAAATGAAACCAAGATGCCCAGTAATTCCTAAGTGATCACTTTCCTAGGCAATCCCCTTGACAGATAACTTTTGGTTTTTATTTTAATAGTTAAGATCTGGCCAGCACCGCGGCTCAATAGGCTAATCCTCGGCCTTGCGGCGCTGGCACACCAGGTTCTAGTCCTGGTCGGGGCGCCGGATTCTGTCCTGGTTGCCCCTCTGCCAGGCCAGCTCTCTGCTGTAGCCAGGGAGTGCAGTGGAGGATGGCCCAAGTGCTTGGGCCCTGCACCCCATGGGAGACCAGGAGATGCACCTGGCTCCTGGCTTTGGATCAGCGCGGTGCGCCGGCCGCAGCGGCCATTGGAGGGTGAACCAACTGCAAAGGAAGACCTTTCTCTCTGTCTCTCTCTCTCTCACTGTCCACTCTGCCTGTCAAAAAAAAAAAAAAGTTAAGATCTAATAATAATATGCCAGGGAATGTTTTAAGCCCTTTACAATATCTATATGATATGTACAGATATATATCAACTTTCATAGGCTGTAGGTATCATTTTTTTTTTTAAATTTTACAGATGAGGAATTCAGGGTACACAGGTAACTTGGAAGTGGCAAAGACATGATATGTCCCCAGTTAGGGTCTAATCTTGCTCTTAACTGCCTATAAAGGTAATAGGAAATTAAAAAAAAAAGAAATATTATCTCTGTATTTATCTATATTATCTCTATATTTATCTATAGAGGAAAGTAAAGAACTGCAAGTACAGCTGAGGTTGAGATGAGTAAGTCTGGTCTCTGCAGAACCTTTAAGGTTCGTACATCTAGGTTTTGTTAACTCCCCGAGGCTGGGACCCTCCAGGAGCTGGCCTTACTTCTCACTGCAGCGGTGCGTGATGACTGTAGCCCAGAGGCCCAGGAGAGAGAAGATGAAAGGGATGGTAATGACCAAGGTGAACAGGTTGACCACAGCCATGACAAAAGCATCAGTGAGACAGTTGTTGGATTGGTCCATGTGCGAGGATAAGGAGGCGACAGGGCCAAAGCCTAGGCCCAAGTCAAACAAGACTTGGCACCCTGCTCGGGACCACACCTGGATGTTGTACATGGATGATATCTAAAAGGGAGAAGAGCAGTATAAGGGAGGGATTAAAAAGAAGGAGAGGACAACTACAACAAAAATGTTAAGGTGGGAGAGGAAGGGGAGAGGCATAAAAGGAGATAATGGGGAAAAGAGGCCCTAAGAATAGGCAGCTATGTTGTCCTCTAAGGCCTGATAGGGAGTGAGGGAGATATACCTCACCTTGGCAACCACCAAATGTTGAAGGCCATACGTGGCCCCATCCTGCAGCAGACTCCAGAAGAGGAAACACACGATGAAGAAATAAGGCAGCGGTACCAAGACATACATTACCTGAATTGAGAATGGGACATTATCAGCAACCAAGCACCAATAAGGGTCAACCAGTAGTCAGCAGAGAGCAAAAGTTCTGAGTCAGATATTAGTAGGAGTTAGAAGGTAGCCTTCAGCAGGGTCAGGGTTAATGGGAGTGAAAGACAGGAGAGGGTAAGAAATTATGAGGCCAGCAATAACAAAGTGAGGAGTGGGCTAAAGCATCTGAGAATGTCAAGGAATCCAAAAATGGTGGCTCACCTTCCCAACGAACTTGAGCCCATTGGATACGAAAGCACCAACAACACACCATGATATAAAGAAGGGCAGGGTCAGACTGAAGGCTGGTGGCCCACCATCCTCAATTCTGTCTGAGGCCTTCAAGGTCTCCTTGTACCAGAAGTACATGGAAGGTGTCGTCCGTCCACAGTCAGGATCTGAGGGAACCTGGCTCTGGACATGCCTGCTGGACAGGGAGAGCCCTCCCCTCTTCCTTCTCCTCTCCACCTCCCTCCCCTCCACAACACCTTTCTTCTTCATCTCCCTCTTCCTGTCTCTCCATGCTCCTTCCTCCTCTCCCAAGTTCCTATCCCATTCTGCTTTCCCTTCTCCTCCTTACCAAAGTCACTGGAGTTCCTCACTAAGGGACATTTCTCCCATGGAGCAGGAAACTGAAAGGACTGGCTCAAGTAGAAGAGGATCCAGGCATTGACCACATTGAAGTACATGCTGGTGAAGAAGCACACCTGGGGACAGGGAGGAGCAGCTAGGACAGTACAGGGACAGGAAACAGGAGCAGATCTGACAGGGGACTAGGTAATGAAGGAACGTGACCCATGGAAGTGAAGTCACAGGATCCGTTCTAGTACAAGGGTCTGGGATGGGATAAAAGATAAGCCTGGAAAGCCTAGCACTCCTCACCGTGAAGCTGGTATACCCAACACCACCAGCCCAGGGGCTAATGATCTTCCATAAACCCATGTTGCTCAGGCGCATCCTCTGGCCGGCTGCCAGCTCCAGGAAGAGGAGAGGAACCCCGACTAAGAACAGCAAGAGGATGTAGATAACAAAGAAGCTGCCTGTGGAGAGGAATCAGAAGGGTGTCTGAGAACCCTCTGGTCTTTCTGTACTTGGGATTCTTCAGGGCCAGGGAAATATGCTCCCCATGAGCAGCATCCCTGGGGGCCACACGCATCAGGGCTCCCCTGTTTCCACATCCCTCACAGTCCCGGGTATCCAGTCCCATGGACTGCATCTCCTGGAATACCCAGATACCCAGTTTCCAGCCCCACCTCTGACCCAGGACTTCATGTTCAGAGACCTTGCACTCCCTACCCTTCCATGATCCTAGGTGCTGGGGCACCTTGATTCTATTCTGCTCAGAATTTCAATTTTCCAGTCTCTACATATCTCAGAGTCAGCAGGATTTGAAGCATGGACAGGCCTCTGTCATGCTCGCTCCTATGGATCTATGTTACCTGGCCCCCAGACTTACAGCCTCCATAGTGAATCCATATGTAGATAAAATGCCAGATATTGGATGGTCTCACACTGTAGCCCAGCTGGGACAGGATGTATTCAACCTTCCCAGCCCACAGTGGACGAGTGAAGATCTTACTCTCTTTGTTTTCTGTCATCTGAAACTTCTCATCTGAGAGAGTCTGTTTAAGCATTGAGGAAGTTACCGCAGGCAACGCAGTTTGCTTTGGATTGCCAGTCCTGGCCTTAGCCACAAAGGCCTGAGTCTCCCAAGCCTGAGCCATTGCAGCCCGAGTTGCGGTTGCCTGGGCCTCTGAGACATAGGCTGCTGCAGGCAGGGCCCCTGGCACTGGGCCCTTATCTTCCCAAGCTTGAGTTCCCAGAAGACCATCCGAGAGCTTTGTTTCGGTAGATGAGGACTTTGTCATCAAGAATTCTAAAGCTTGAGCCTCTGTCTTCATCTCAGGCAGACTCTCTGGGGCAGCCCCAGCTTCTCCAAGGGAGGGTTTGCCTTCCGGAGCAGAGCTTAGGAATACCAAAAAGTGCAGATTTTAGATTTCAGAATTAAGTAACTAAGCTCCAAAACAACCCTCAACACCTCTTAAAGCAAGTCTTCCTTTCTACTCCTAACACCACTGACATCAAAGCACACATACAAAAAATTCTTACCAAATTTTACCTAGAAAAGTTTTCATACAAGAGACAGGGATAGAGACACACAAAGCTAGCAGGGGGAAATCCCATTCAAAGGATTTCTCAAAACACTAGGTATAATCCCTATAGAGAGGGGTACCATTTAAAGTCAGCTTTTGAGTCAGAGACTAATTGAACAGTAAGTCTGCCTTGTAACCCCAGAAAAGTCGCTTTACCTCTGAACTTTCTCGTCTGTAAAACACTCAGGTCTCTGCTCACACACTGCCTCACCAGAGGTGCCTTCCCTGTCTGCCTATCCCGAACACCAGCTACCCACCCATCTCTCTCTGCTGTTTCCTCCACTGCATGCTCATTCCCAAGTGCCAGCTGTGCCTGTCACCCCCACTGACTGCTCTTCCCATCAGAGGACCAGGCACTACCTCATGTCTGGGGCCACTCTCCTGTCTGCCCTCCGTGCTCGCACCGCTCTGGCCTTTTGTTGGCTCTTCAAATGCACCACGAGAGAATGGACAAAAAGTATGCTGAAAAAGAAAAAATGGTTTGTTAAAGCCAGGACGAGAGAGGGAATCGGAGATTCTTCCAGAGGGGAAGGAGCATGCTATCCATCAGAAGACAACGGGCAGACCTCAAGGCATCACCACATGGCAGGCTCACGGGCAATTTATGATGAGACACTGTTCCCAAAGAGCTCTCAGCTGCTCAGACAAATGCTTACATTCAATGATAGGTTAACACACAAACTGAGGTTCAAATCTCAACCTTTAGTTCTCTAGACACTTAAGATTGCAATGAAAGAAAAGGCTGAGAGGAAAGGACATTAATACATAGAAAACAGGACTGTTGGGATATTTAGATTTTTCTGCTTTTAAATTGGTTTTGCAAATTGTCTATAAAAATCATGTTTTACTTTCATAATAATGAAAATAGGCATTGATAAGTTGAAGTTAAAAATAAAAATATGATACTGGACACAGAAATCATATTAAAGCAGCTCACATCAGCCAAACTCAGGAAAATTAAAGCATCAAAAGAGAAAATAATAGGGGCTGGTGCTGTGGTGTAGCGGGTTAGGCCGCCGCCTGCAGTGCTGGCATCCCATATGGGCACCAGTTTGAGTCCCAGCTGCTCCACTTCTGATCCAGCTCTGCTACAGCCTGGAAAAGCAATAGAAGATGGTCCAAGTCCTTGGGCCCCTGCACCCGCGTGGGAGACCTGGAAAAAGCTCCTGGCTTTGGATTAGCACAGCTCCAGCCATTGCGGCCATCTGGGGACTGAACCAGCAGATGAAAGACCTCTCTGCCTCTGCCTCTCTACAACTCTGCCTTTCAAATAAATAAATAAATCTTCACAGAAAATTTCTTCTCTACAACAGAATGCAAACTAATAAATGTACAAGAAATGATGAAATTAGAAAATCATTATTTACCCCAAATTCACCTAGTTGTACACATTAAATATGTACAGTCGTTTACATGTCAATCATGTATATGGTATTTTTTAAAAATCATTGTTTGGAAACTACCAGGGTAATAATTCATCCAAGCAAGAATTATCAATGGTTGCTAACATAAGATGGTAAAGGTTAATGGAGACTGGGTAATTGTAGCATTACTCCATCTCCCCACAAGACACTCTCCTTCAAAACCAGGAAAATACGATCTTTACAGTGTTAGACACTACCTCAGCTAAGTAATAAAATCTACTGACATAATGTGCCTCCTGATGTTATGTATTAATAATACAACATCAGGGGGCTGGCGCTGTGGTATAGCGGGTAAAGCTATCACCTGCGACACCAACATCCCATATGGGCACTGGTTCCAGTCCCAGCTACTCTACTTCTGATCCACCTCCCTGCTAATGCACCTGGAAAAGCAGCGGAAGATGGCCCAGGTCCTTGGGCCCCTGCTTCCCACCTGGGAGACTTGGAAGAAGCTCCTGGCTCCTGGCTTCAGCCTAGTCCAGCCCTGGCCACGGCAGCCATCAGGGAAGTGGACAAGCAGATGAAATATCCCTTTCTCTCTCTTTCTCTGTCTCTCCCTCTCTCTCTCTCTCTCTGTATCTCTGACTTCCAAATAAATAAATAAATATTTTTTTTAAATTTAAAAATAAGAAAGATCTCAAATCAACAACCTAACTTTACAATTTAAAGGACTAGAAAAAGAACAAACTAAACTCAAAGTTCACAGAAAGAAGGTAATAAATATTAGAGAAGATAAATGAATATACAATAGGGAAAGTCAATGAAAATAAACTTGTTCCTTGAAAAGATCAACAAAATTGACAAACCTTTAGCTAGATGGACTAAGAAAAAAAAAGAGGAACAATTCAAATAACTAAAATCAAAAATAAAAATGGAGACATTACTACTGATTTTATAGAAATAGAATGTATGTAAGAGGGGCTGGCACTGTGGCACAGCAGGTTAAAGCCCAAGCCTGCAGCGCCAGCATCCCATATGGGCACCACTTCATGTCCCGGCTGCTCCACTTCCAATCCACCTCTCTGCTATGGCCTGGGAAAGCAGTAGAAGATGGCCCAAGCCCTTGGGCCCCTGCACCCATGTGGGAGACCTGGAAGAAGCTCTTGGCTCCCGGCTTTGGATCAGCTCAGCTCTGGCTGTTGTAGCCATCTGGGGAGTGAACCAGCGGATGGAAGATCTCTCTCTCTCTCTCTGGCTCTACCTCTCTCTGTAACTCTTTCAAATAAATAATTCTTTTTTTAAAAAAAGTATATAAGAAAGTACTATGAGCAAATGTATACCAACAAATTGGATAACCTAAAGGAAATGGACAAATTCTTAGAAACACAAAACCTACAATTTTACTCAATGTTTCATTACTATAGAGTAATATCTGAGGTAGACTTTTTTTTTGACAGGCAGATTTAGACAGTGAGAGAGAGACAGAGAGAAAGGTCTTCCTTTGCCGTTGGTTCACCCTCCAACGGCCGGCGCAGCGGGCGCAGCCGGCGTGCTGCAGCCGGTGCACCGCATTGATCCGAAGGCAGGAGCCAGGTACTTCTCCTGGTCTCCCATGGGGTGCAGGGCCCAAGGACCCGGGCCATCCTCCACTGCACTCCCTGGCCATAGCAGAGAGCTGGCCTGGAAGAGGGGCAACCAGGACAGAATCCGGCACCCCGACCGGGACTAGAACCCGGTGTGCCGGCACCTCAAGGCGGAGGATTAGCCTAGTGAGCCACGGCGCCGGCTGATAGTTTTGTTTTAATTTGAGGGTCTAGAAAAACAAGATCCAAACAGCATGGCCCAGGCTCGTAGGAAGGCCCCCAGCCCTGGGCTGCATTCCATCAAAGTGTGGTCACGTGTGTATCACTGCATGCGTGATCTCTCATGGGGCCCCGCCCTAATGATCTAATGTGATCTAATCACTGCACAAAATCCACATCTAAATATCACAGAGTAGTTTTCCTTCTGCCTAACACGATTAGCATAGGACTCTGGGGATTAAATCTGCATGACTTCAGAGGGACAAACCCTATTCAAATCCATAGTCATCCCAAGACTAACTCAGGAAGACAGAAAACTTTAATGTACCTATAGAACTGGTGCCTACAGAGAGGAAATCAACAACCAAAACCTCCTAACCAAGAACAGCTCTGGGGCTGACGGCTTTGTGGGTAAATCCCATGAAACCTCTAAAGAACTTATACCAGTCCATCTCAAACTTTTTCAAAGAGTTGAAGACGTGACAAGTTATTCTATGAGACCAACATTACCTTGACACAAAAGCCAGACAGACACAACAAGAAATCTACGGAGTGAGGCCGGCGCTGTGGCACAGCAGGTTAAAGCCCTGGCCCACAGTGCCAGCATCTCATATGGATGCCAGTTCGTCTCCCAGATGCTCCTCTTCTGATCCAGCTCTCTGCTGCGGCCTGGGAAAAAGTCCTTGGGCCCCTGCACCTGTGTGGGAGACCCAGAGGAGGCTCCTGGCTCCTGGTTTCGGATTGGCTCAGCTCCGGCCATTGCGGCCATCTGGAGAGTGAACCAGCGGATGGAAGACTTCTCTCTGAATCTACCTCTCTCTGTAACTCTTTCAAATAAATACAATAAATTTTAAGAAATCTACAGAGCAATATTCTTTATGAATACTGATGCAAGAATTACCAACAAAATAGCAGCCATCAGCAGCAGCAGTTCTTCAGGGATACATATATACATAGTAGAAGTATAAAGAAGAGCAAAGACAAGATTATCACAAGAGTTAGCCCAAACGTGACTTCTAGAAGGGAGACTGGCTTAATCACAGTGACCTATCAACCGCAGGTCCTCGAGAGCCCAGGTAATGTTCTATTTCTGGATCTGGTTGGCAGTTACACAGATATAAGATTACTAACAATTAAATAAGTCTCTTTATATGTTCTGTGCACTTTTCTGGATACATAATTTATTTCACAATTTAAGATGTTATAAAGAAAAAAAGATGAAATATCCAGATAATTAGGGGGAAAACCAGAATAAAACGGAGTCAGGAAAACTAAAAGGAGAGAAAGTAACCAAGAGCCTACGACACAAAACCAAACAGGCTACCCCCTACAAAGTGCTCGCCATAACTTATTTGTGTGTGTGTGTGTGTGTGTGTGTGTGTGTGTGTTTCTTTTGGGACAGAGGGTAGGAAACAACGAAACAGAAATCCTCACTCAAGTTGTTCAAAAGCGAACCACGGGGAAGCGGGAGACGTCGGAGCGTTTCTGCAGTCCCTGTAGCTGTTACCCAGGCAGCGCAGCCTCACAGGCCGCACACGCTTGGCCCGCAGCAGGGGTAAGCAGCGCTCCTCGGACTGGCGGAATTCACCTCGCTAACCCCGACCCGGCCCGGGTCCCCTGCGATCAAAAGGCAAAGCTGTGCTCCCACAAAACCGATGCACTCTTCTGGGAGAACATTCGAGAACAGCAGCCTTCAGCCCGGTTCCTCGGTAAATGGATCAAGGTCCAGCCCTCGGGACAGCTGCACCCTGCGTCCTGGAGGCCCCCGGGCCCACGCCCTCCGAGGGGCGCCGGAGCCCCCGGGAACGCCTGCTCCCCACAGCTCATCGCCTTCCCGGGAACTAGCACCCATGAAAGGAGGAAGCTGGCGTCCGGGTTCCTCCAAGAGCGGGAACGAACTCTCTGGCCGGGGCTGGAGCCGGCCGGAGCGTCGTCCAGCGCCCGGGCGCCCACGGCGTCGCTCTCAGGCCGGGGGCTGCCGGCCACGTCCGGTGAAAGCCAAGCCGAGGCACGGGCTCGGGGGGGCTGAGGCCGGCTTCCCAGGTCCTGAGGCGGAAAAAAATTTTAAAAATAATAACAATAAAAAAAGGAGCCCACAGAGCCCCGTACGGAGCCCGGGGAGTCCCGGCGGCTCCCACCCGGCGCCCTGTCACCCTCAGCGAGCCCCGGGCCCGGCATGGCGCCCACGCCCATAGGACCTGTGACCGCTTCGGCGGCGTTCCCGGGGCCAACTCGCCCTCACCCTGGCCTTAAGGCTCCCGCCAGACGATTCGGGCAGCAGTCAGGCGAAAACGACGAGACGCCGCCTCTGAGGAGCCACGCGGTCGCCTCGGCCACCCTCGGCCTTCGACAGTCGCGCTCCGGCGACGCTCCCGGCGCCTCCGCAGGCCCGTTCCCACCGTTTCCCTGAGCATGCGCCGTTGCCCCCTCGCGCGCCCCGCACTGACGTAGGGAGCGATGGCGCCACTCCGCCCTCGCCGGCAGCCCGCCCTCCGCGCATGCGTGTGCGCACACGTGTTCAGGGCGCGCATGCGTGTGCGCACACGTGTTCGGGGCGCGCATGCGTGTGCGCACACGTGTTCGGGGCGCGCATGCGTGTGCGCACACGTGTTCGGGGCGCGCATGCGTGTGCGCACACGTGTTCGGGGCGCGCATGCGCCTCGGCTCGCTTCGCATTCCTCCTTGGGGGCGCGGGCCGCGTTGTTCCCAGGCTCTCAGGAGTGGCCCTTGTCTGGTGCGTGGGCTTTGCTTCCGCTCCCCCGAGCGAGGGGCTTGATCTTCCCATTCTTTCCTTCGAAGCCATGTGGGAGCAGTGGGTTCAAGCGGCTGCTTGGGACGCCACCGTCCCATATAGGCGTACAGTGGGAGCCCCGCTGCGCCACCCCCCACCCAGCACCCTGCAGATGCACCTGCGAATGCCCAGGAGATTCCCAGGAGCTTGGGCCCCTGCCACCCACGGGGCACACACGGATGGAGCGCCAGGCTCTTGCCTGGGCCTGGCCCAGACCGGCTGTTGGTGCCACTTGGTGCGTGAACCGGTGGCCGGAAGATCAGTATCTATCTCCCTCCCTCTCCCTTTCTCCGTGTCATTCTGCCTTTCAAATAAATTTTTTAAAGATTTATTTATTTGAAAGGCAGAGTGACACAGATAGGAGAGGCAGAGAGAGAGAGAGAGACAGGTCTTCCACCCGCTGATTCACTCCCCAATTGGCCACAACGGCCAGAGCTGGGCTGATCCGAAGTCAGGAGCCAGGAGCTTCTTCCAGGTCTCCCACGTGGGTGCAGGGGCCAAGGACATGGGCCATCTCCCACTGCTTTCCCAGGCCACAGCAGAGAGCTGGATCGGAAGTGGAGCAGCTGGGACTCGAACCGGCACTCTCATGGGATGACGGCACTGCAGGTGAAGGATTTACCTGCTACACCACAGTGCTGGCCACTCAAATATTTTAAAACAAAATCTACGCCTGCGCCGTGGCTCACTAGGCTAATCCTCCGCCTAGCAGCGCCGGCACACCGGGTTCTAGTCCCGGTCGGGGCGCCGGATTCTGTCCCGGTTGCCCCTCTTCCAGGCCAGCCCTCTGCTGTGGCCAGGGAGTGCAGTGGAGGATGGCCCAGGTGCTTGGGCCCTGCACCCCATGGGAGACCAGGAGAAGCACCTGACTCCTGCCATCGGATCAGCGCGGTGCGCCGGCCGCAGCAGCCATTGGAGGGTGAACCAACGGCAAAGGAAGACCTTTCTCTCTGTCTCTCTCTCACTGTCCACTCTGCCTGTCAAAAAAAAAAAAAAAAAAAATCGAGGATCCCAGTCATTCACACAGCTTACATTATGTGATTTAGGAGTCTATGTGATTGAGTTACATCTGTCAGTACCAAAACTGAGTAGGTGGAGCAGTTGTCTAGCTTAGTGGTTGCCATACCTGAACGATCTGGGTTCGATTCCCACTGCTGGCTGCTGACTCCAGCTTCCTGCTGATGCAGACTGTGGGAGGCCGCTGTGATGGCCCAGGGAGTTGGGTTCCTGCCACCTCTGTGGGAGACCCGGATTGAGTTCTTAACTCCCAGGCAAACCTAAGCATCTGGGGAGGGAACCAGTTGATGGGACCTCTCTCTCTCTCTCTCTCTCTCTCTCTCTCTCTCTCTCCCCCTCATAAATATTTTTTAAAGATTTATTTTATTGGAAAGCCAGAGTTACAGAGAGAGAGAGAGAGAGAGAGAGAGAGATCTTCATCCACTGGTTCACTCCTCAAATGAGCTAGGCAAGGCCAAAGCCAGGAGCCAGAAACTCCATCTGGGTCTCCCACGTAGGTGCAAGGCCCAAGTACTTGGTGCATTAGCAGGGAGCTGGATGGGAAATGGAGCAGCTGGAACTCAAACTTGTGCCCATATGGGCCTAACCCACTGCACCACAACACCAGAACACCCCCCCCATAAATTAATATTTTAAAAACAAATTTCTTGGCCGGCACCGTGGCTCACTAGGCTAATCCTCCACCTGTGGCTCTGGCACACCGGGTTCTAGTCCCGGTCAGGGCGCCGGATTCTATCCTGGTTGCCCCTCTTCCAGGCCAGCTCTCTGCTGTGGCCCAGGAGTGCAGTGGAGGATGGCCCAAGTCCTTGGGCCCTGCACCCCATGGGAGACCAGGAGAAGTACCTGGCTCCTGCCATCGGATCAGTGCAGTGTGCCAGCTGCAGTGCACCAGCTGCAGCGACCATCGGGGGGTGAACCAACAGAAAAGGAAGACCTTTCTCTTTCTCTCTCTCTCTCTCTCATTGTCCACTCTGCCTGTCAAAAAATAAATAAATAAAAACAAAAACAAAAAATTTCTAAAATAGTTATTATCATTTAAAATACATTGTGTGTCAACATAAATAACATTTTTATGAAAGATAACTATAGTTTCCAAACTAAAAGAGAACTGAGAGGCCGGTGCTGTGCACAGTAGGTTAATCCTCCACCTGCAGTGCCAGCATCCCATAGGGGTGCCAGTTTTAGTCCCAGTTGCTCGCCTTCCGGTCCAGCTCCCTGCTGTGGCCTGGGAGAGCAGTAGAAGATGGCCCTGCACCCGCATGGGAGACCCGGAAGAAGCTCCCGGCTCCTGGATTGGGATCGGCACAGCTCTGGCCATTGTGGTCAACTGGGGAGTGAACCAGCGGATGGAAGACCTCTCTCTCAGTCTCTCCCTCTCACTGTAACTCTACCTCTCAAATAAATAATCTTTTTTGAAAAAAGAAAAGACATGTAGTGAGAAGAATGGCTCTGTTTTGCATTTTTGCAAGGCTTCAATATCTGGCTAATAGAAGACGTCGGTGCTCATTTCTGGTTCTGCACTGAGTGTGGAAATGGCTCACGTTCTGGAAGCTTCTGGAAAACATCACTGCAAGCTCAAGAGAAGAGAGAAAAAAGGCAACGTCTGGCAGGGTCATGAAAACAAGTTTCACCACCGGGACCCCTGGATGTGTCTCAGGATCCCCCATGGATCCCCGGGCCACTTAAATTGCCATGGTCGGACAGAGATACAGAGGAAGTGGGTGCTGTGAGACCTAATCACAGGGCAGATGGTTGGTGCAGGGGTTAACCTTGGGACACCTGCCTCCCACATCAGCTGTCTGGGTTCAAGTCCAGGCTCTGCTTCTGACATAGCTTCCTGCTAAGGCACACTTTGAGAGGCAGCAGGTGGTGGATGATTCAACTAGCTGGGTCACTGCAACCCCTGTGGGAACCGGATTGAGTTCCTGGCTCCTGGCTTCAGTTTGGCCCAGTCCTGCCTGTTGTGTTCACTTGGAGAATGACCCAGTGGATGGGAGATCTCTTATCTGTGTGTGGGTGTGTGTGTGTCACTCAGCCTTTCAAATAAATAATCTTAAAAAAAAAGAGCCAGTACAGTTTATTGATGGACTGTGTGTGGTGGTTTTAAAATATGTCCGAAAATTCTTTGACATGTGGAGAGATAAAGCCTTATTCCCTGGCTCCCAAACTCGTGCAAATATTTAAACCCCAAAATGATGGGTTGATGGCGGGGCCTAGCTGCTCTCTGGCTCACCGTGTAATAGCTCTGCCATTGCTGTCCACCCTCACCAGAGGGCAGGATCAGTGGGACCTGTTCTACTTGGACTCTGAACATCCGCAACGGCAAACCAAAAGAACCCTCCCTCGTAAGTAGCTTTACCTCAGGTGCTTAGTGACTGTGATGAAAAGCTGATGCGTACCCCAACCCTCAAGTGTAGGTTACGCTCAGTGACTGGCTCCTGATGAACACAAGTCGTCATGGGAGACTTCGAGATGAGGCCGTAACAGGCAGGGCTGCACCCTTGTTCATTCTGTTAGCTCGCTTTCTCCAAAGGAAGCCGGCCACCATACTGTGAGGGCGCTCAGGCACTCCGGGAAGAGACCCTCCTGCCAACAACCTGCACCATGGAGTGTACCGTCGGGAAGTGGATCCTCCTGTCCCACATGAACCTTTAGATGACTGCGGCCCCAGCCAGCACCTTGACAGCCACCTCATAGAATGCCATCCTCAGGAACCGTCCATCTAAGCGTCTCCTGATTGCTGACCCACAGGAACCATATGATGTAAGAGATGTAGTAGTGTTTCCAACAGCCAAGTCTCAGATGATCCGTTACAGAGCACTGTATAACTCATGGTGACTGGGTTCGTAGGGGATAGGGAGTAAGAGAAAGGAGGGGCCAGTGTGGTGACACCGGGCTAAGCTGCTGCTTTTACAATGCCAGCATCCCACCTCAGAGTGCTGGTTCATGACCCTGCTGTTCTACTTCCAGGCCCCACGCCCAAGAGTCTCGCGATGTTGGATTTGTTTGCGAGGGCCGCTGTGCAAATTGCCACAAACTGTGGCTTAAAACAACAGAAATTTATCCTGTCACAGTCCCAGAGGCCGGGCGGTCAAGGTCAAGGTGCCCAGCCGGCTGGCCCCAGGCGAGTGCTGACCCCAGTCTCTGCCTCTCTCCATGTGACCTTCTGGGAGCGTCACTGCTCAGGGTGTCTTCTGTGACACTTATCATTGGCACTGGACCCCCCCTCGTAATCCAGGTGATCTCATTTTGAGAGTCTTCATCACATCTGTAAAGATGTCTTCTGGGGCCAGCGTCATGGTGCCGCAGGGGAAGCCACTGCCTGTGATACTGGCATTCCATAACAGCACCAGTCCAGGGGCCGGCGCTGTAGCGTAGCAGGTAAAGCCGCCGCCTGCTGCGCCGGCATCCCATAAGGGCGCCAGTTCAAATCCTAGCTGCTCCACTTCCGACCTAGCTCTCTGCTATGGCTTGGGAAAGCAGTAGAAGATGGCCCAAGTCCTTGGGCCCCTGCACCTCTGTGGGAGACCCAGAGGAAGCTCCTGGCTCCTGGCTTTGGATTGGCACAGCTCTGTCCATTGTGGCCAGTTGGGGATTGAACCAGCGGATGGAAGACCTCTCTCTCTCTCTCTCTCTCTGCCTCTCCTCTCTCTGTGTAACTCTGACTTTCAAATAAATAAATACATCTTTTTTTAAAAAAAATCACCAGTCCAGTCCTGGCTGCTCCACTTCTGACCCAGCTCCCTGCTAATACACCGGAGAAAGCAGCAGCAGATGCCCAAGAGCTTGGCCCTCTGCCACCCATGTGGGAGACCCAGATGAGGTTCCTGGCTCCTGGCTTTGGAACACCTACAACCATGTGGCCATTTGGCTTTGGTCTGGAACACCTACGGCCATTTGGGGAGTCAACCACCAGATGGAAGATCTGTTTGTCTCTCCTTCTCTGTCACTGTCTTTCAAATAAATAAAATCTTTTTTTATTTATTTGAAAGTTAGAGTTACACAGAGAGAGGAGAGGCAGAATGAGAGGGTTCTTCCATCCGCTGGTTCACTCCCCAATAGGCTGCAATGGCCAGAGCTGTGCTGATCCAAAGCCAGGAGCCAGGAGCTTCTTCCGGGTCTCCCACGCAGGTGCCAGGGCCCAAGGACCGGGGCCATCTTCTACTTCTTTCCCAGGCCACAGCAGAGAGGTGGAAGAGGAGCAGCCAGGACAGGAATCAGTGCCCATATGGGATGCTGGTGCCGCAGGCAGAAGCTTAGCCTACTGTGCCACAGAGCTGGCCCCCTAAAATATATTTTAAAGGGGGGGCCTGTCTTTTCCAAACAAGATCACTTTCACCAGTTCTGGGTCTTAGGACATAGAGCTTTGGGTGGGGTGTGTGTGCCACTAAACACAGTGTAATTATATTTGTGGGAAATGAGGGTCTGGATTTGGAGGGTGGCCTTGGAGAAATGAAGATGGATTTGCAGTGTTTTTACTGATAGGACACGGTGGGGTTAGTGATGGCTTAGAAGTAGGAGTTGAGGGACCAGAGTACAGTGAGTCTATGTCCAAACTGAGACTTGGACCCTCTGGATCCGTGCGGGGGACAGACTGTAAGGGAGAGACTAATGGCCAGGGAGGAGCCTGGGTCAGGTCCAGGCAGGCCAGCAGGAGCCCTGAACCAAGTGGACAGAGGGGTGGAGCAGCTCAGGAACTGGCAGACTGTGTGGGAAACGGGACCAGGGCAGCACTGGCAGGTGGGGCTGTCTACATGGGGAACCAGGTGAAGGGGGGTATCTGGGGGAGACCCTGTGCTCTGTGTTCTATGTGGTGAGGGCGGGGGTCCCAGGGCACGTCTGCTGCCTGGAGCTCGGGAGACAGTCAGAACACAGGAGATGAGGGGCTGGCGCTGTGGTGTAGGTTAAGCTGCTGGGCCAGTGCTGCCGCGTGGCGAGTAAAGCCGCTGCTGCCTGCGGTGCCGGCATCCCTTATGGGCGCCGGTTTGAGTCCCGGCTGCTCCACTTCCCATCCAGCTTCCTGCTAATGAGCCTGGGAGGGCAGCAGAAGATGGCCCGAGTGCTTGGGCCCTGCACTTACATGGGTGACCCAGAAGAAGCTCCGGGCTCCTGGCTTTGGCCTGGCCCAGCCCCGGCCGTTATGGCCATTTGGAGAGTGGAACCAGTGGATGGAGGATCTCTGTATCTACCTTTCAAATAAATAAATCTTAAAAAGAAAAAATAGAAGAAGAAAGAAAATAGGAGATGGGATTTCTCAGAAGAGAGAAGGGGGCCTGGCTCAGAGCCAGGTGCCCCAAGTTCCAGGTAAAGTGTGATCAGAAAACCCTTCAAGCCGGAATTCTGTGAGGGACCTGGGACTTGGCCAGGGTGGGGAAGGGGGCTTATAGGGACATCGGGTGAGACTGCAGTGCTATCGAGCACCCTAAATCCAGAGCTGGCGGGCGAGGCCCCAGGCTCAATCCTGGCTGCTCTGGGGCCGCCTCCTGGCCCCACTAGAGGCAGGAAGCACGGCCCAAGGCTTGCTTTCCGCTGGCTGCCTTGGCACCGCCCCGATGCCCCCCTGTCAGGGACCTTCCCACCTCTGGCCTGCACCACTTTCACTTCCCGAAAGTGCCCGGCCCCTGCCCCCCAGCACATGGGGGCACCGTGAGCTACAACAGGATGCAGACTCCAGAGATGGGGGTGGGGGTGGGGGGAGGACAGGGCCCAGAGAGAAAACCCAGAGAAAGCGAGGAAGGAGGTGGGGAGGAGGCCGACAAGGACCCAGGGCAGGGAAAGGGGCACAGGGGGGCAGAGCTGAATGCAGGCCGTGAGGTCAGAGTGTCTGTGAGGTCAGCTGCTGGCCAGGGCCTGCCCTGGGCTCTCAGGGCCCAGGGGCACGCGCAAGCAGCTCAGGACCCTGTGAAAGCCCGGCCTGAGCCATGGAGACCTGGGAGGAGGGACTTCCGCCCGTGGCCCTGGTGCCCAGCAATTCCAAGGCCCCTCAGGTGCTGGTCTGGGCAGGTGAGGGGGAGAGGACGGTCGTCTCTCGTGAGCAGCGAGAGGGGGTGGGGCCGCGGCCTCGGCACTTCCTCTTTCTCTGTGTCTTCCTTTCTCTCCGCCACCCCACCTCTCTCTCTCTCTCTCTGCACCCCCCCCGCCGCCGCCGTCTTTCTGCCTGTCCCCCGCTCGCCGACACCGCTTCTGTCTGGCCCCTCGAGCTGGTCACTCACCCCTCCAGGAGAACATGTCGGCCCAGGAGAGCTGCCTCAGCCTCATCAAATACTTCCTCTTCGTCTTCAACCTCTTCTTCTTTGTGAGTTGCCTCTGCCCAGCCCGGCCTGGCCCCTGCTGCAGCCCCGGGACCTCAGAACCCTCCCCCCTGCCCACCCACCCACTCCCCCCTCCTCTCCCCAGGTCCTAGGCAGCCTCATTTTCTGCTTCGGTATCTGGATACTCATCGACAAGACCAGCTTCGTGTCCTTTGTGGGTGAGGGGGGCTGGGGCAGTCGGGGAGGGCAGCCATGGACCCAGACCCCATCCTCCCAAGCCATCCCCTGGGGTCTCCCTTGTCCCCGGGAGGTCCGCAGTGCCCAGCTCCCAGAGCAAGTTTGCAAGCCCCGCTGGCACTGGCTCCCTGCCCCTCCTATGGCAAACGGGGTTGCGCACACCCACCATCACGGCGGCGTTCCTCCTCCAGCACTTCCTGCGTGGGTCATGCGGGATCCTCCCCCGAGCCTTCCCCCGTCCAGAGGTTCAGAGAGGGGAAGAACCGTGGTGGGCGTCCCACAGGCAAGGGAGAGAAGAGCAGAAATAGCATGAATGACGGTGACGGGAAAGTAACTAGGGAGCCGTTGGTGTTGAATACGGTCGGCCCTGTGCTGGGGCCCGGGCTGTGTTCCTACGCGCGCCCCCAAACAAGCCCAGGGAAGGGGCATCAGGGAGCTGTAAGGGACTGGGCTGCGATCACAGGACGAGACGGGGCTGCAGAGCAGCTGGAGGACAGAGATGGACAGAGAGAGGGGAACGAAGCCCAGGGACTTGGGGTGGAGCTAGGACAGAGTCCCAGAGAGGCAGAGCCGGAGGAAGAGGCACCAGGAGCCCCCAGGTACTGCTCCCACGCGGGTGGTACCTGCGTGGGGGGACGGGTTGCTGATGGCCCTCTGCACGAGGGCCCACAGTCACTGCTCTCCCCTCCGCCAGGCTTGTCCTTCGTGCCTCTGCAGATCTGGTCCAAGGTCCTGGCCATCTCGGGCATCCTCACCATGGGCCTCGCCCTCCTGGGCTGCGTGGGGGCCCTCAAGGAGCTGCGCTGTCTTCTGGGCCTGGTGAGAGCCCACCTCCAGGTCACTCCTGACCCCCCCTTTTCCTCCTCCAAGAAGCGGCTTGCGTGGGGTCAGCCTGACCTCCCCAATCTGCCCCCCCCCCCAGTATTTTGGGATGTTGCTGCTCCTGTTCGCCACGCAGATCACCCTGGGAATTCTCATCTCCACCCAGCGGGTCCGGGTGAGCTCGCCCCACCCACCCCTGCACCTCTCCCGGGGTGGGGGCGGTGGGGTTTGTGGGGTGGTGGGTGGAGACCAAAGCAAAGGCGAAGGTAGGAGCTGCCATCCCCAGAGGAAGACGTACACAGAATCAGAAAAAGGCAGAGACAAGGAGAGAGAGAGAGAGAGAGAGAGAGAGAGAGAGAGAGAGCGAGCTCCAAAGGGAAACACGGGAGGAGCGGGGGGAGGGCGAGTGGGAGAGGGCACGCCGAGGAAGAGAAGTGGCAGGGAGACTGAGCAACAGGGACAAGCCATGCAGCGGGAAGGGGCAGCCCGGGGCCCGCAGCCGGCCCGGCCTCACTCGCAGCCTCTCAGCTGGAGCGGAAGGTGCAGGACGTCGTGCTGGACACCATCCGGAACTACCGCGCCGACCCGGAGGAGACCGCGGCCGAGGAGAGCTGGGACTACGTGCAGTTCCAGGTGCCCGAGCCTCCAGCGCCCGCCCCCCGCCCTGCCTCGCTGGCTCGCGGGCTCTGGAGTGGCCCCAGCCACCCGGACCCTGCGTGCTGTCACCTGCGGGGCCCCAGACCCAGACCCTGGCGGGAGTCCGCCCTCTGAGCCTGCGTGGTGGGGTTTTCAGCAGCAGGACCCTGGCATGCCCCGGGTTCCCACGGCGTCGGCCCTGGACGCTCCCGTCACCCGTCCGCCCCGCGCCAGGTCCCCGCCGGGACGCGTGTCTCTCCCAGCCCCCGCCCCGGCCCCTCTGACCCGCACCCCCTGCCAGCTGCGCTGCTGCGGCTGGCATTCCCCGCAGGATTGGTTCGGGGTCCTGAGAGGCAACGAGTCAGAGGCCCACCGGGTGCCCTGCTCCTGCTACAACTCGTCGGCCACCAACGACTCCGCAGCCCTCGACAAGGTCTTCTTCCCGCAGCTCGGCCGGCTCGGGCCGCGGTCACGGCCCAGGCACAACACGGACCTCTGCGTGGTGCAGGCGAACGGCTACATCTACCGGGAGGTGCGGGACAGGGCCGCGGCGGGGCTGCGGGGAAGCCTGGGGGCGGGGCCTCGGTGGGTGGGGCCTGCGCGGGGCGGGGCCTAACCGAGAGCAGCGACGCTGCGGGGAAGACCGGGGGCGGGGCCTCGGTGGGTGGGGCCTGCGCGGGGCGGGGCCTAACCAAGAGCAGCGACGCTGCGGGGAAGCCTGGGGGCGGGGCTTAGGTGGGCGAGGCCGGAGGGGCGGGGCCTAACCAAGAGCAGAGAGAGGCTGCGGGGAAGACCGGGGGCGGGGCCTGAGGTGGGCGGGGCCCAGAACGCTGACGTCCAGGGAGGGAGGAGCTTGCCGGAGGCCAGGAGACCAAGAGAACCCTGTCAGTTAGGATGGGAGCCTGAATGGCGGCTACGGGCTTGGCTGACCAGAACGCTGGGCTCGGGCTCGGGCTCGGGCTCGGGCTCGGGCTCGGGCTCGGGGGGAGGGGGGGGCAAGCGCAGAAAGAATCCCACCTTTAACCCTTTCCTACCCACCAGGGTTGCGCGCAGAGCCTACAGAAGTGGCTGCACAACAACCTCATTTCCATCGTGGGCATTTGCCTGGCCGTCGGTCTACTCGAGGTGACCCGGACCCCGCCCCGACCTGCAATCAGCCCCCCACAGTCCCTCAAAGGCGCCGCCCCGGAAGGACGCATGCGCGGCGGAGGGCGGGGTGGGGCGGCGCCTTCACGCCCGCCCGGAGGGGCGGGTCTAGTTTCCCTGAGCTCTGATTGGCAGTACGCAAGGGACGCCTGCTGCTATTGGCTGCAATTTCCCTCCTTTTCCCGGCAGGTGAGTGTGATGACGCTGAGCCTGAAGCTGCAGCGCAGGGCGCTCCGCCGGGGACCCGAGCCCCAAGGACCCGGCGCCGATGGTTTGAGCCCCGGGCTCGGCCTGAGCGCGGATGGCGATGGCGGTGGCGGCGGGCGCTGTGGCGCGCTCAGCGGCAGCGGCAGGCGTGTTGGCAGCCCGTGGGGAGGCTGGGGCATGGCTGGTGCCCGCCCCAGCTGGGGGGACAGGGCCCCGCAGGGCAAGCTTCCTATGGCCCTGGGGCCCTGGCCACTTTGGGATCAAGAGGAGGAGCAACCAGAGACTGGCGTAGAAGTGGAGGTGGAAGCCGAGGCGGAGAGGGAGACAGAATAAAGCACCCGGGGCTTGCTTGCTCCCACCTGACTGCTTCTCGGGCTGCCCCCCCCCCCGTTAACTGCAGGGTGTACCCCCTGCACCCCACTGCCGTCCTCCAGCGCTGCAAGCTGCCCTTCTGCCCCCAGCACGCCTTCCCTGTCTCTCATCGTGTCTCCTCTCTGTAGCTCGGCTTCATGACGCTGTCCATTTTCCTGTGCCGAAACCTGGACCACGTGTACAACAGGCTGGCTCGCCCCAGGCCTCCAGGCCCCGCCCTCCCCCGAGCCCCGCCCCGGCCCTTTCAAGTGTCCTGAGCTCTTCCCCAGCCCCAGTGCCCCCCAGGCTGTCAGCCTCAATGCCCTTGGGGCCCAGGTGTCGCCCCCGCACCGCTATCGCGTCTCCCGCGGGACCAGGGGCTTCCTGCCCCCTCCATTTCTTTGCGTCATCTCGTCGGCTTCTCACAAGACTATTTTTTACCCAAGCTTCAAATAAATCCCCCTGCGTTTTGGTAAAATAGCTTTATCCTCTTGTCAGAACACGAACCAACACACACCTCGGGGGCGTGGGGAAGGCAGCACAGCCCCGCCCACGGCTGAGAAGGGGAGGGTGACATCGGAAAACCCCACCCCACTGCGTGCCCAGCTGAGATACGTCGTGACCCTAACACTCACTTATAAATATCTTGTTATATTAAAAAAAATATTTCTAGGGCCCACCTGGCTCTGGCTCCCGCAGAGTGGGGTCGATCTTCAGTTTGTGACAGCGCAGATCTTGGAGTGGGGTGGGGGAGGGGCCGAGGCCAGTACCTGGGGGTTGTCTCACTCCCGTCCCCAAACCCGACTTCCCGGAGTCATCGGTCCTTCCAGACTCACCCCGCGCGGTCCAAACAGCCCCAGCCCCTTCAGCTCACCACCCAGGTTTTTTTTTGGGGGGGGGGCCGGTATTAGGGGACAGCCTGGGTGGCTCAGCCCCTTTTCGTCACAGACAGGAAGCGTGGGGAGAGCTGGGAGGCCGTCTTGGGAGGAGCTTGTTCCAGGGCTACCCTCTTCAGTCCCTGACCAAGCGGTAAATGTGGTGCTGGGCCCCGCGCTCACTGGTGGAGACCTCGAAGACGTAGGCGGTACACAAAAGCAGCTCCTGGGTGTCTCTGTTGGTCACCACCTGCAAGAGGCCCACACTGAGGAGGCAGGGAGGACCCACGGTGCCCGCCCAGCTCCCCGAGGAGGGATCCTCACCCCGCCACGGACCCCAAGGGGGCAGCCGCCCTGGGCAGTAGGGCTGACCCCTAAGCTGCGGGCGGACAGTGAGGGGCCTCACATCAGACGGTGGGACAGGGCCGACAGGGGCCATCTGCACCACATCTGCAGTAAAAGGGGTCTTTTCCCAGGGGGCCTCTTCCTCACCCCCCGAGTTAAAGGGGCTCCCACCAGATCGTGTCCCCTGAGCTGAGGTCAGGTCCCTGGGAGGCTGAGGGTCTGCCTTGAGGGGTTCTGCACGTCACGGATCCCCTGGCGGGAGAGTGCTGGGCACCCCACCCCGGGGCGGGGGTCTGTCCTGGGCCCGGCCCCGGCGCGTCACCTGCAGGATGGTGAAGTTTTCCAGGACACTGTTCATCATGTACCGCTCGGGCAGCTGCCGCAGCTTGTGCAGAAAATTCACCAGGTACTCACACATGGGGGAGCGCAGCAGGCGGTACACGAACCTCCCGTCCTCCAGCTGGGCCCGCTCTGTCTGAACCGGGGAGGACAGTGGCTGAGAGACACTCGGGTCGCCCCAGGGACCGGGCTCCATCCCCGGGCCTCTCGGATGCCACACTCGCTCCCACTGCCACCCCCTCCGTCACCCCACCCACAGTGACCAGAGGTAGGGGTCTTGAACCCTGGGACATCCAACTCAGGAACCCTCAGATGGATGCTCCGAACCCTCCCTGACCTCTGAACTCTGACCCCCAAAGATCCCTCCAAGACGTCCCCCACCCACGCAGCGCCCCAGCCGCCACGGCTCCTGGTCCCTTCCTGCAGCCCAGAGTGGCAGGCAGCCACCCACCCTGAGCTCCGCCCCTCCAGCCTCACCTCAACCTTCTCCACCACTTGCTTGCCGAAGGAGCAGACCTTGGAGGAACAGGTGAGGGTCATGTGCTCCAGGCTCTCGTACTGGCTGCTCACGCCGTAGAAGCCACCGCTGCTGCTGCTGCCGCCGCCGGTGCCGCCGCCGCCGGCCCCCACATCCTCACCACTTGGGCCCCAGTTCAGGTCCGCCTGGGCAATAAGGAGGCGCTCGGAAGGAACGTCCCTCATAAACAGTGGGGTCCCAACCCCATGCTCGGCTCCCCCGGTCACCTCTTCCGGGGCTTCCCAAGGCCCCGCCTCTCCGTGGGCTGCTTTCTAGCTCACCCACCCTCTCGCCAGCACTGGAGAAGTCTGGGTCCTGCAAACAGGCCAGGCCCCCTCCCCAGTGGCCTCCACCAAAGGGGTCTGTAATTCAACTTTGTTCACTTGAAGCCCCCCAGTCCAAGAGCACAGCCCCGGGGCCGCCTGCAGTGCCGCATCCCATGGGGCACCGGTTCAAGTCCCGGCTGCTCCAGTTCCGATCCAGCTCTCTGCTGTGGCCTGGGTAAGCAGTAGAAGATGGCCCAAGTCCCTGGGCCCCTGCACCTGCATGGGAGACCTGGAAGAAGCTCCTGGCTCCTGGCTTCAGATTGGTGCAGCTCTGGCCATTGTGGCCATCTGGGGAGTGAACCAGTGGATGGAAGGCCTGTCTGTCTGTCTCTCTCTCTCTCTTTCCCTGTCTTGCAAATAAAGAAATCTTAAAAAAAAAAAAAAAAAATTAAAAGAGTGCAGCCCCTTCCCAGGGCTGGTTACTAAGGAGACAGTCACTGCTTAGCATTGGGTCAAGGCCCATCAGGACCCCGGCTACTAATAACAGAGGCGGCTGCTGCCCAGCTACGAGGCCTGAGGGCACCCTGGGGAGCCGGGTCTTTCTCCAGAACACACTCCCTGGCCCCTCCCGCATCCTCAGAGGCCCATCGCCCTGGTGGCGCATCATCATGGCGCCCAGGCCTGCATCACGCCTTGGGCTCAGCCGCCTTGGGAGGAGCACCTGCTGCCTCTTCCAAACTCAAGCTGCTGAGACTCCGCCAGGCCACTCTCCAGAGACCTAATCCCATCCGTCAGCCTGGCCACAAGGCCTTGCGAAGCCAGGCAAAACCCAAGGCCCCATTGGGAGCTCCCACGTGCCCCTTCTTCGGAAGTGGGGCTTCCGGGACCTGTCTTACGTCCTAACCTCACCCAAGACCTCAGCGGCACAGCCCCAGAGCTGTGTTGGGCCTCCACTTCACACGCCAGCAAACCAGGGCATAACCAGGATGGCTACGCGCCCAGCAAGGCCAGTGGAGCCCAAGCCCGCAGCAGCCTTCCCTCTCCACACCGAATCCCTTTCCTGCCAGAGTTAACACCCCCTGAACATTCACTCAAGAGCCCTGGCCCATACGGGCAGTCCCGGGACTGGATGCCCAACCGATCAGCTGAAGTAGGACCTGGAGGGAGGTGGGCGCTTGAACTGCAGCCCACACTGGAGGGCTTGGGTTCGAGTTCCAGCTCCTCCAATTCCAGCTCCTGCTAATGCAGGAGGCAGCAGGTGACGTTCGAGCAGTTGGATCCCAGCCATCGACTTGGGAAACGAGGGTGGAGTTCTCGGCACTGCCAGCTCTTGGCTTTGGTCCCTGTGTCCGCACCATGCCCTAGGGGCCTGACTTCCCCAGGGCTGACGCTCAGAGCCGGGAGCACGGACCGTCTCCCAGAGGCCTCCGCGGGGCCGCCATGAACTCACCCAGAACTTGACCAGGAAAAAGGCGTGGGGGGGCCCGCGGTCATACAGCTCCCGCAGGCCGCCCTTCTTCTCGGGGAATTTGTCGTAGATCTGTCGGACGTCCACGCTCTCCAGGGGGGGCGCTCCGGGGCTGGGGCAGTGCTGGCTGATATGCACAAACAGGTGCCTCTGGTACTGGGAGAGGCGCCCACGAGTGAGGAGCGGGGGGGGGCTGGGCCCTGACCCCCACAGGCCTCATCCTCTGCCCCCCGCCCCAGCCCTGTCCCCGGCTTCCCAGCCTCCAACCACTCCTCTCCCGTTCCTCCCTCACAGGGCACCTGGCCTGTCGGATGGACGGACGGACGGACGGGAGGACAAATGGGAAGTCACATACAAGACCCCCGTGTGTCCCCACTCTTCTGGTCTTGATGTCTTTCGTAATCTCAACCCCCTTCCCATCTTTCCCATCTTCTCCTCCAATAAAAATCCACTCTCTATTTCCAGGGCCAAGTTCATCCAAAGCTGCCTCTTCCAGGAAGCCCTCCTTGGTCACAGTCAGATGGGACCTCTTCATACCACCTTTCCCATGGCTTCCCAGCATCCCTAGGAGAAGGTCTGGAACCCTCCACTCAGCTTGGCAACGCCTGCCTCCCCAGGACCATCACCTGCCCACTTATCTGCAGCCTCAATGGTTCCCACATCGCATTCTACTATTTGTTTCGCTGGAAACTCCATTCTGTCTCCCTCTCTATACCTAGAACCTCCAATTCTGCACAAGAAAACTCCTATGTAAACCTCAAAGCCCAACTCTAACACTGCATCTCAGGAAAGCCTCACTCACTCCCCATGGAAACGTGAGTGCCCCACCCCAGGGTACCCTCATTTTCCACAGACACCTACAGGGAGGCCTAAGTGCACAGGGACCGCTCTGGACTCCAGAGCCACAAGTGCTAACTTAATGGAGTTCACAGTCTACCGGCAGACACAAAACATTTCAAAAAAACACCACCAGGGCGGCGCTGTGGCACAGCAGGTTAACGCCCTGGCCTGAAGCGCCAGTTCAAGTCCTGGCTGCTCCACTTCCCTTTTTTTTTTTTTTTTTTTTTTTTTTTAAGATTTATTTAGGGCCGGCGCCGCGGCTCACTAGGCTAATCCTCCACCTAGCGGTGCCGGCACACTGGGTTCTAATCCCGGTTGGGGCGCCGGATTCTGTCCTGGTTGCCCCTCTTCCAGGCCAGCTCTCTGCTGTGGCCTGGGAGTGCAGTGGAGGATGGCCCAAGTGCTTAGGCCCTGCACCCCATGGGAGACCAGGAGAAGCACCTGGCTCCTGGCTCCTGCCATCGGATCAGCGCGGTGCGCCGG